AGAGAATGACATTAAGTTTTCCCTCATTAAATTTAAAGTTTCTCATTTTTATCATGATATTCTGAACATCTTTTGTTCAATAAGGCTTATAAAAATACTCATCCTTTTCGAGACATAAAGCATAAAAAATATAGCATTTTGGTCCCTTGCGACCCCTAATTACGTAACATATGATAAAAATATTATCATATATTGTTGCAAATCATTAAGATGAATACTTTTGCTCCATTAATGTATAACAAAATATTGATCATTAGAGAGTTATAGATGAAAGAAATTTGGCCCCTCTGAGCCCCTAATTTGAGGGGTCAGCCCCTTTTTCTTGATATCAAATGAAAGGTCTTGTGATTTTGAAGATTTTTTGTTCAACACTTATTCAGAGCTTTCTTTTCGTTGTGGAGATATGCTGAATGGAAATAATTAGGGGCCACCCCTACAAGTCGCTAATAGGGCCGTTTTACAAAAAAATAAAAGTATGCATATTTTTTAGAATATTACTCTGACCATCTTTTGTTCAATATTGATTATCAAATTATTCCCCCTTTGTGAGATATAAAGCGTCAAAGATTTGACATTCTAGCCCCTTGTGGCCCCTAATTACGTAACATATGATAAAAATATTATCATATATTGTTGCAAATCGTTAAAATGAATATTTTTGCTTCAGTAATGTATAACAAAATATTGATCATTAAAGAGTTATAGATGAAAGCATTTTGGCCCCTCTGAGCCCCTTATTTGAGGGGTCAGCCCCTTTTTCTTGATACCAAATAAAAGTTCTTTAGATTTTGAATATTTTGTGTTCTACACTTATTCAGAGATTTCTTTTCGTTGTTGAGATATGCTAAATGGAAATATTTAGGGGCCACCCCTACAAGTCCTTAAACACCCAATTTTATGTTAACGCCCCCAAAATCTACCTGATTCAAGATCAATAATTTACCGCCTGTCAATCATAAAAAAAACAATAGCTTCTGATTTGATTGACAGGTCAGCTACCTGTGCTTCTTGATGATCTGAGTTTGCCATGTTTTGAAAACAATTACCTGGTCACGCGTCAAACTCTTTCATGTACCCGCATAGTATACACGCGGGTTAGAAAACTCCAATATGTTTGAATTTTATTTAAAAAAATAATTGAAAGTAGATTATTAAAACATTGACATTATAAAATATTTCTTTTCTATCTTCACTGCTGTTTGTTACTTGTAAGTGTTATATCGTCCACGTTATCTGTAGAAAAAAAAACGCGTCCACAGAAACCAGCTGTATTTGCCGTAATTGGAAGGCCGACGATTTAAAATATTTTTTTTAAAATGGGATATAAGAAAAATATTCAGCACTAATAAACGGCATAGCATAGTTTTAAAAAGATGTTTTATTTTGTACTATGACTACAATCCGCACAGAAATTGATGTCAGAATTAATGCTCGAATTTCCTCGCGTCTGTATGAATAAGTAATGAAAATGTGAAGATAATTAATAGTGATCGATTCTGAAAAGAAATCTTTCTAACAATAAAATTTTGTTAACACACAAAGAATCAAAAATAAGGAATCTTTTGGACAACATTGTTGGCCAGGGAAAAAAAAAAACATTCCGATCGCGGTAAATGCATGTTCACATGCACGACGGATAGGTGGATTAATAATTTTTTTTTTTTTTTTAATATTCAGACCTTTTTAACCAAGTGATTTCTTTTATCGAAGATTAAAAAAGATAAATATTATTGATTTGTAGGTTTTACTCGTGATTTTTTTCTTTTATGTAAGGAAAACATTTTCTAAAACGATAAACTTGTATCTTATTATTTTTTTTCCTTCAAAACATTACCATGATTACGATGAATGCGTTAAGTTTACAAATAAATTTCATATTAAAATAATTATTTTACGTAGTTTCACTCAAAACCAGACACAAAACACGTAATGATGACCCCGATTACCAAACACAGACTTCCTGTGTAATGCTACGTATACACAGATTTTTGACATCTTGGGTATTGGGGGTCTCCAGGTAAATAACACCACTGTTACTTCGACCACTCCCCCTCCTCAGGTAACCGTACGGTAAAAAAATTGGGTCTTTAATGGGGCCATTTTACAAAAATTCAAAGTATGCATATTGTTAAGAATAGTATTCTGACCATCTTTTGTTCAACATTGCTTATCAAAATATTTCCCCTTTTTGAGATATGAAGCGTCAAAGATTTAGCATTCTGGCCCCTTATGACCCCCTAATTACGTAAGATATGCTTAAAAGTTTATAATATATTGTTGCAAATGGTCTAAAATTAAAAAATATCGAAAAATCGAGCAGAAAAAATGATAAAATTTTTTAGACACACGGGGGATCGTACCCGGGTCGCCCGCGTGACAATCCAACGCGCTAACCATTCAGCCATTGGGATCACCACTTCGAGTTTTCAAATGCAAATATCTTGAGATTGGCTTCTTCGATTTTCAAACAAATTACATATTTCGCTTCTGCGAAAGAGTCTCTATTCAATTCTAAAACAAAAATATTATAAAAGAAAAGTTGAAAAATTGCGTTTTTTAAATTCGCTTCCGGTATCGACCGGAAGTATTGACGACGCACGAAAAGGCGATTCTGCAACGCTATAAATCATGAACTATCATCTCCAATTAATCTTCAGTTCATATCTTAAGCAGTTTTCGCTACTAAATCAAGACAAAATTGCATTTTAAAATCAGAAAATTGTCCATATCTTACGACCGGAAGTGACGGCGTCAACGAAAAATTTCCAATAAGGTCCAGATCAGTACCTATCAGATGTGAAAGTTTCATGAGAATTGGCCCAGTAGTTTACGAGAAATCGCATGCACAAAATCGGTAAAATCTGATACGCTTATCGATTACGTTATTTGAACACTTTTTCTAAATTCACTTGTATGTACATGTAATTCTGCAACAGTTAATCTGTCTTGGAATTATGAATGGAGGGTCACTATTCATAATTTCGCGCCAAACGCCACGAGTAAATCTTCGCGCCTTTCTCTTGGAATGTTCTATTAAATAGGTGAGATGCTTATTTATTTATTTTTTTTATTTTTTTTTTTTTTATAATTTTCCTGTTAATCACGAAAGTGGATTACTAGTATTCCAATTACCTACACTTTCATGAAAAAAGTTGTGTGTTTCACCGAAAAAAAATGCCTCGATCGCCCTACGAGGGTCAAGGAATAAGATTCAATTATGTTCAATAACTTGCATTGAGAAAAAAAAATGTTAATATGAAGTCAATTAAACGGTGTTTTAAAAATTATTGTCTTTTTAAAAAAAATTCTTATTGTAACAGTTGTGCATGGGAAAACAGTGGTCACGTTTTATACTTAATATATATATATATATATATATATTGTATCTTGAAAAACTATTACTTAAAACTACATGTACGATTTAAGCTATGTGTTTCCGTGATGCAAAACAAAAGATAATAGGTATTGTACTTCATTTGCACATTAATTCTTTTCTATTTCTACTTTGAGAAACAACTAAAACCAATTAAAGAAGACGTGTAAGGAGGCCTTGAATTATTATATAAATGTAGTTTGACACAGAATTGCAACGTACCTACGCCGTGACAATCCAAGTATTCCTTCATATTTCATTGCTCCTTATGTTACTTTCGTTCAAGCAAACGCTCGGCTGCCTCTGTAGACCCCTATTGTGAAATGTCGGAGTTGACAGAGACCGCCGCCATTTTGATCCCGCTTCAAATTTTTGATTGTTAATATCTCGAGTTTGGATTTATCAATTTAAAAACAAATTATATATTCAGCCTAATTGAAAAGGTTTCTATTCACCATTTTAATATAATTCAAAAATATTGAAAAACAAAAAAGTTGAAAAATTCGACTTTTTAAATTCGCCTGCAGTAACGACAGGAAGTAGAGACGACGTACAAAAGATTGCGTCCTGGATAGTACTTATCACGATCTATAATCCCTGACAGTTTCACAGTGATATCTTTCACCGTTCTTGAGATTAACTGCGGACAAAATGTCATTTTAAAATCAGAAAATTGTCCGTAACTTTGCACCAGACAGGAATTTCCAAAAAATATCTCGGATAAAATAACTTCAGATAACAACACATTGTTCCTGCAAATTTCATGAAAATCCACCCAGTAGTCTTCGAGAAATCGCGTGCACAAAATTAGATGTACGGAAAAATAATAATAAGAAACAGTAGAATCACTATAAGGTCTTCCGTGAAGACGGAAGACCTTAATAATAATAGGAAACCGATGAATAACAGTAAGGTCTTCCGAAGGAAGTCGGAAGACCTTAATAATAGTAAGAAACCGAGTAAAAACAATATGTTCCCAAACTCCATTTGGGGAACATAATAACTGGAAAGTTGTTGCATAATGCTCAAGTGACCTATAAGGCCCATGGGCCTCTTGTTTCTCTTGCTTTTGGGCAACACAGCATCTATTAGTTTATTTTATAAATACTCTATGGATCTTCTACGGATTGTTGTTTTATACTCATGTGACTGTTAATGCCCTTGGGCGTTGTGTCATTAAAAATGTCTGTAAAATATGGTGTTATACCTTCATCACAGCCTTGCATCTCAAGTCATAGTTTTTCTAGTCATGCATTTAGATGTTGAATAATTTAATATGAACAAAATGCCTATACATGTATGTGTATATTCAGATTTTTGAATTGATATGAACGAAATGCCTATATATTCTTCAGATTTATAAAGGTTTTCATGAGAATAAATCTGAATTGCCATTTTCATAAATATTTATGTTTTGCCCAATTTTTTTTTTATTGTCACTCATGACTGAGTCTGAGCTTAAAGTTTGGGCCTCGATTTGGTTTTAATTCATATTATAATAATTATGATACTAAATTGAACATTAATTGTTTTAAATTATAAATAACATCTCTTATCATTATACAAAAATTCTACCAATTGTGGGAAAAACAATTGTCACAGTGATGTTGGATCCAATATTTTACAGGATGATATGGTGGAATGGGACTTTGCAGGTACCCAAAAAAAGATTTCTTTGACGTTAAAGAAAAGGCTTGAATATAAAGAAGACAAGCATTTATTCCCAATCACTGTTAGAACATGGGTAATTATCAATCATTTATATCAAATCGAGGTGTTTGCCACTGGTAGATTTTGAATTTAGATTATCAACTAAATAGAGGATATTCAATGTTTTGTCGTTGAATATGGAATTTATTTATTTGCTTTGCACTCGTGAAAATATAAAAAAAATCCTGTCTCACGAGTGAAATAAATTCCATATTCAACTACAAAACATTGAATTTTCTGTTTATTACATTTTCTTTGATTTTCCCTTTGCCTTATTTGTCTTTCTCTACATACAGTCATAGGCTATGACATCATAGTTGAGGGGATGTCATAGCTAAGTGATACGAGATTGAAAACATTGTAAACATGAATTTTAGCAACATATTTGTGGGGACTTTGGTAGTCTTATTCTCTGTCAGAATGGTTTATTTACTCTCTCTATATATTATAACAGTCCAAGGAATATTTTTACAACACTGTTCATTATGGGAAGGTAAATCGAGTTTTACCGCACTACTGATATTTGTCACATCATGACAGAATATCATTTTGATATCCTTTCACCCTGTGACAGGATATCACTTATTCAGTGGATAAATTACAGTATTTCACTGTTGAAAATGTAATAAAGTTGTTTATAAAACACTTATAAGATGAAATCCCACGCAAGCACAGAAAAATTTATACTACTATAAGTTACAGAAAAATTCCAATAATCTACATTGTATTTTCTACTGAGTTATAGCAGGAAGAAATACAAATATAGGGTGGGGCATTAGAAAGAGTAGATTCTAAAATGTTCAAATTACCCCCCCCCCCCCCCCCGGGTAGGGCAGGACCACAATAGAGAATCCAATTAGTTTTGCATTGAAATATGTAAAAAAAAAAAAAATCTTTTAAATTTTCTTTTCAAGAATCACTGGGTCAGAAAAGGTGAAACTTAGTGGAAGCATTCTGGGGTAGTGTAGAGTCTAAATTATTCAAATCATGAAGTCTAGGGGTTGGGCCACAATTTGTACATTTTTGAAAATCTTCTCAAGAACCAAAGGGCAAGGAAAGATGAAACTCATATGGAATTTATTATTACCAGGTAGTGTAGATTTAAGTTTGTACAAATCTTGATCCCCAGGGGTTGACAAATAATAAAGCAACGTATAATTTCAAAATCATTGTATGCTAAAAAAAATAAACTCGGTTAATACTTGAATGCAACATTTTCTCATGCTTTGTTGTTGTATAAAAAGTCAAGATTAAGAAAAAAAACTGTGTATGCATGTTCTGAGTATTTTCGGCATTTTATTTCTACAGCGAATTTCAAAGCAATTATATTATTGCGATTTTCAATTTAGAATACTGTTTGATAAAATTTTCTACTGCGTATAATACAACTGAACTGCAAATTTTCTCCAGTTTCAGGCTCAAAAGGGGGTGCATATTTTACACCAATGCATATTATACTCTGTTAAATAATATATGCATTCAAGCTTTTTATAAATACTAAACTGATCCCTGAAATTTGCAGTGATGGAATCAGTTGCTTAGAAGGAGTAAGCATCCCCTGTTGACCACTCAGATCGGCCATGAGCCTTATGTATTGAT